GAGTTTATAGTCTAATGCAGCAAGAGGTCAGTTAGTCTCTAGATGTTGTGATATGTATGACTTATATTTTTCCATCTCCTTAATGTATTTTATTCGATTCTTATTCCATTCTTTCATATTAGAACATTATTTTGATTATCTTAATATGTCTTCCATATTATTATCTATTTCTGTGTCTGTGGTTTTGACTATGGGTGATGGAATGATAGCAAATAAGATTAATTTTTATGATACATAATTTGGATATTTGGTTTGATTCTATTGCATATTTTTACATTTGATATTATTTGGGGAATGAACTAGATGAGTCAGTATGGGGCTAAAATCGATCATCTGAAAAAAAAAAACTTTATATCAGAATGATGAGAGATTTGTATTTCAAGGAATTAGGGATATTCTTTCTTATTTGATTTCTATTATAGAAATGGATAAGCTTTGGAGGAAAGGCAGCCTAATATTTTTAGCATGTGTCAAAGATGTGAGGCTCTCTTCTCCATGCAGTTCATAAGTTTTCAAATATCTTTCCTAAGGAGTTAGTGAATTTACTGCCATATAGAGAGGTAGAGTTGATTTTTTAGATGTTTTTTTGTGTATTACTTCGTTCATTAAGGCCCCACATTGGATGTCACCAAAGGAAATTAAAGAGTTGAAGGTGTAACTTCAGAAGTTGGTGGATCAAGGCTTTTTTCGTCCTAGTGTATCTCTGTGGGGAGCACCCGTATTATTTATCAAGAAAAAGGATGGTGCCTTATAGTTGTGCATCGACTATAAAGATTTGAATAAGGTAACCATAAAAAATAAGTATTCTTTACTTGATATTAACGACTTGTTTGATCAGTTGGATGGATGTTTAGTACTTTTTAAGATTAATCTACATTTTGATTATCATCAACTAAAAGTAAGAGTAGAGGATGTGGCAAAGGCTGCATTTAATATGAGGTACATGCATTATGAGTTTTTTGTCATGCCATTCAGAGTGACTAATGCCCCAACGACCTTTATGGATTTGATGAACATATTTTTTATGAAGTATTTGGATTAGTTTGTTATAGCCTTTATAGATAATATTTTAATTTATTTCAAATCTGAGGAGGAGCATGCAATGCACTAGAGGATTTCTTTAGAGCTTCAGATGAAGTATCAGTTATATGCTAAGTTCTCACAGTGTCAGTTTTGGTTGAGTTGTATTTTATTTCTAGGATATGTTGTGAGTAGTGCATGTATTTTAGTATATCCATAGAAGTTTCACACTATTTTCGATTGGCCGAGTCCTACCATAGGTTTAGAGATTCATAGTTTTTTAGGCTTAGTTGGTTATTAGCTAGTTGGGAGGATCATATCCCACTTATAAAATTTATGTGCAATAATAATTTTTAGTCCAATAAAGGTGGCTCCTTATGAAGCCCTATATAGTAGGAGGTGTAGAACCCCTTAAACTTTAGTAGAAATGAGGGATAAACCTGTGATAGAATCAAATTTTATGAATTATAATATAACAAAGATTCTTCATATTAGAGAGAGATTGAGAGTTACACAGGATAGGAGAAGAAGTATTATGATCAGAAAAATAGGTTGGTGAAATTTCAGGTTGACAAATTTGTTTATATCTAAATTAGTCTAATGAAAGGTGTCAATAGATTTGAGCATAATATATTTTATATATCTTCTTTGAGGAAGTCGGTATTTGATTTTGGGAAGAGATTAATTGTTGAAGATATTGAGGTTTATCCAAACCTACACTATAGGGAAGAGCCCAGTAAAATTCTAGTATATGATGTGATGAAATTGAGCAAATAGATTATGATGATCAAGATGCAATGGAAGCACATATATGTGAGAGAGACTACTTAAGAGAAGAAATATAAGATGAGATAATTATATTCAAGCTTATTCTAACTTATTTTGGCCTGAAAATGCTGAATATGATATTTTTTTAAGATGTGTGGATTATTATAGCACAAAATTAAAAAGAAAATGATATTTTATCTATAACAGTAAAAAATTATTTTATAAATCATTATAAGTCCAAATTATAAATCTCTATGCAAGAGCATAAACATTAATGTATTTTAGTTTCACTAGTTTTTCCATAATTTTTAAGCACTGGTATAATTCCTTAAGAAATTAGCATATACCGTTACAAGTGGGCTTTCTAGGTCGATCATTATGGTCTATTTTATAAATCAATTTTATCATAATCTTTTAGACATGCTTAGCTAATTTATGAATATATTTCATAATTTGAGAATCTCTGAATTTGAAGATATAAAAGAATTTATATAAATTTTTTTGTTAAAAATTGAATAAATTACAAAATTATACAACAACAACAACAACATCAAGCCTTTATCCCACTACGTTGGGTCGGCTACATGAATCCTTTTCCTCCATTGTGTCCAGTTAAAAGTCAAATTCTCATTTAAATCTAATAAAGAAAGGTTATTCCTAATATTTTATAACCAGGTCTTTTAAGGTATGCCTCTACCTTTCTTAACATAAGTCAAATCTAATACCTCTAATCTCCTAATCGGGTCATTGGAGGGCTATCATTTTATGTGACCAAACCATCTAAGGCTGTTGATCTCAATTTTAGCTCGAGTGCCCTCGACAGCCTTTAATTGATTTAATTGAGCCCTGTTGGATCCAATTCAAACTCGAATCGACTCGAGTTGGGTCAAATTAGACTCGATGAAGTTCGAATAAATATGATTAACGCCCATTAGCTTCTTTGAGAACTATTTGATCTAAATCGGCATCGATTTGGGTTCAATTATGCCAATATAATTTAATTAAATTGAATCAAACTTGAATCGGCTCGATTCATATCAAATTGAGCTCAATTTGAACCAAAATTGTCCCGAATCGAGCTGAATCATATATGATGAAATCAGATTTTTTGAAATTGAGCCAGTCATAGGGATCTCATCTAAATTCAAATAATGTGTCGTTACTTCAGTTTAATCACATAATCTCATCATTAATGGGAAATTATGATTCTGGGAAGAAAAAGACTCTCCCTGCCCTGATCCTTCGCTGGATCGCACAACTCCAGGGGGCGGAACCCTCCCGTTCTCCCTCTCAATTTCTTTCTCCGGAACCGACGCCAAGAGACGGATAGACCGAAGCCCTCCTCCCTTCTTCGGCCTTGTTTGATCCTTCCCATGACCCGTTCCCCCTCCTCCTCTCCGAGCTAGCCTTGAGTGTTTAGTTAGTGTTTGTTAGAGCAACTATGTACATTAAGGAAGAAGAAGTGTAGAAGAGATACATGATCCTTCTTGGTGATATAATTTCTTATTATTTCCGTTCTTCTATGATTTCAATGAAATTGAATTTGCTTATTTTTTCGACAATGTTTGACAAATTCTCTAATTTTGAATTGATTATATAGAAAATATATTGAGAACTAATGAAGATTTTTATGTTCTAAAAGTGAAATGATATTATCAATATTATCCTATTTTTTATTTAATATATAGTGGCTATATATATAGTTAAAACATAGTATGATGTATAGCCTCGATGAATGCATGCAAGAATAATAAAAAATATTGAAATAGTATACTTGCATACCCAGACATATGATATAAAATATGCTAGGTTCTTAAGGAGATGATATAATGGTAGAAAATCAGCATATCCTTTTCATCCATATAAGCTTGACAGAGATCTAGAGATGCATATTCTCCATATCATATTAAAAATAATAAGTTTATTAGGAAATATATGCAATTTAGATTCATCAATTCAAATATTTTATTTAAAAATTATATTTATTATTTTATTATTTTTATTCAGTAATTGATTCTCCATAACTAATAATTTTATTTCAGTAGGATAATTTTGTAGTTAGAGTAGTTAATTGCTAAAAATTATACTTCATTACAGGTTTGATACTCTACTCCATCACATTTTTTTTATTCAGCATGTATATTTATGTATATTAAGTGGAATTTAATCTTTTTATATATTAAAGAAAACCTAAGCATTATTAAGGGGAGATAGAGCCTTAAATTTTTTTATAATTTAAAATTGCACTCCACAACCCCCATTAAGTTTTTGGCACTATTTTCTCAAAAGTATTTCACTTTTTTAAAAATTTTAACTATAATTTTGATTTAGTTGCATAATTAGACTTACTTATAACATCATAGGATTTCTGATCTCCGTTTGTGACTGGATTTCAACACGACGGTTGATTATTGTAATCTGATTATTCTCAATTTCAGGGACTAGTCAGTCAATTAAATACTAGTGGAATCATTTTAACTCGGCATGTTCCCGTGATTTTTCCATTTTACAGGGTTTTTCCACGTAAAATTTTGATGTTCCTTTTTTCTTCTGTTTGTCGCTGAATTATTTATACAACGCTAAGATGACAATTTCTAACTCTATCACTGCATATATTCTAGCCCGCAATAAAGTCATTATTTTTTATTTTTCATTCTTTTTATTATTTTATTATAACCCTTATTTAAATTATAATTAATTTTTTTATTATAAAAAATAAGTCTATTTATGAACGGACTCAAAGCTTGAGCTCGATTAATCAAGCTCGAAATGAGGATGACTCGAGCTCAGACTCCACTTGTCTGTACTCTGTATATCTCCCTGCTCTATGCCCTATTTTACTCCATGAAAGAATGAAAGAATTCGAGACATCGACGGGACCATTCTACTAATTATTTAATTACTATTTAATTAGTTTTAATTATAAATTTTATTATTAATTATCTCATTAATCACTTAAGAATTCTACTGCTCATTCATTATTTAATTATTATTTATATTATTAGTTATATGTTTAATAATGTATATTTTAAAGTATATTTATTAAGATAATTATACTAATTTTTAAATACTAATTATATTACTAACTATTTAATTAAGTTAAATTAGATAATTAATTTGTACACTAATTATGCTATTAATTATTTAATTACTTTACTTGGTTATTAATATTTTAAATAAATATTAATTAAGTTAACCCGTAATGGCTGAGGCGTCTATGGTTTGCTTTTGTTGCTCCTTGCTCGTCTTGCTATCGGCTTCGTTGCTTCGAAGGTGGTGTAGAGATTGCACGAGTCGGTGCTTCGGCTCCTTCGTTGCTGTTCGACTTCGGTCCTTCCCTTCCTGTCGGATCCGACGTTACAACATTTTGATCTGATGCAACGACGGGAGCTCGGTCGTTCGCTGTGAAGGTAACTTTCTCCCTTTCGCGCGCTTCTTCGGCCAAATTCCATAAATCCGAGTTCTAGCGGGATTTGAATTTACAGGGATTTACCGGATTTACAGTGCAAATCCGCAAATCCTGGATTTACGGATTTGCCGGATTTACAGCGCCATTTTTTGGGTTTGGCTGGATTTACGGTAAATCCTACTTCCAATACCAAACACCCCCTTTAAGCTGCCCAACTCCCGGATTTAGTAAATCCGGGATTTACCGCAAAAAAGTGGTAAAGGTGGATTTATTCCGCCGGCCGAGTCGAAATCCTATTTGGCAGGATTTATGTGTAAATCCTGTTGCCAAGCAGCCCCTTTGTAGATCATCATTATGGCCTTCTTCTAATCCTCCCCACTTCATAGGCACAAGTGCGGACTGTTCGGCTAGTTGACCTGAAGAAGAAGAAAAATAATAAGGGGAGGTGAGCGATGCATTCATTCGGGCAGCGCGCTAACGCGATCATAACTTTCTCTTTGACGATAGTGGCGGTAATTTGCTCTCTCGCCTCTTTCTCAGACAATTTCAACACTCCCTCTCCTACCGCCGAGATCGACGTACTCCGTCTAACCCTGGTCGTTCAATACCCTGGTTTTGCGTTTCAGTTTTTGGTTTTATGGAGTCTAATCGTCTTGAAACGGTGGAGGCAACAAGTCTTCTACCTGCGAGCAATGTTAATTATTAAATATGGAATCGTGAAAGTAGATAATTGGAGATATCTTTGATTATTGAATATGGAACAATGGGCTTAAGGGTTTAAAGTTTAGTTTTCAAGTGATATGCGGATGCGGGATCCCAGGAGCAATAAGAAATATTTCTTGATTATTGCAGGAAGTTTGCCTTTTGAATTGTGCAATGCAAGGATATCTTTGTTGTTGTAGTTTTTGAGGTAAAGGAGTTTCTGTCTTAGAACGTAAAAAAAAAGTTGATATAGGATTATAAAATTTTGAACACATGACATTTTAATAATTCTTGAAATTTAGCCATTTTTTGATAATTATTTTTAAAAAGAAAGAATATAATCAAACCTTGAAATTATGACCCAATTACAAAATTCGTGCTTTTGCAATTTTTTGCTCATCGATTTTGTTATAGTTTCAAACTTGGATTCAGATATTTTTAAATGATTTCTTAGAAATTAATCTAGCTTTTAAATTTAGTATACAACGAATTCTTGATAATGGTGATGATAGGGTAAAATTGGATTGGAGAGTGAGATTTATCCCTTTTGCCTGAAATCTGGACTCACAATTGGAGTAATGCAAACCTTTATAGTGATTGTTGTATGGATAAGAAATTCATAATTTTGATCTTAAAATTTTGAAGTAGACTGACAATGTGGTCATCTTTGAATTTGTTGCTGATAAAGCCCTTTCTTTTGGCTCCATAAATATAAAATCTACTTTAGCTTCGAAAGTCTATATGCTTCCAATCATCATCAGCCTAGGACTGCAAAGCAAAATATCAGGTCCTCTTCAACAAATTGATTTACTTAAAAAGTGGAGTAGGGTTTCTGGATTTCAGTTTTTAACTTTTGCTGAAGATGCAACATTGGTGATTTTGCAGTTTTGCTCTTTGATTTTAGTTATAGTTTCAATCTTCTATTCATATATATATATAGTAAGTGTTACATATTCTTATTTTTCTCAAGGAAAATGAAGATTGACATGAGCTGATGATGATTAGAGAAACATTTGCCAAATAATTATGAACCTGTTAGAATTAATCATTCTTCTATTTTGTTATGATATTAGTCCTTTCAAATGATGATTTATACATGTTTGAAGCACATCTCAAGACAAAAAATGAGTAAACGGTTTTACCGAACTTTGCTTTTTCCCGTTCTTGGCGGATATGAAGACTTAAACAACAAGAGCCCTGGGTTTTATTTTGATTTTTTAGGTTTATTGATAGGTTTAACACTACAAGGAAAAGGACAATAGCTGCTAATAGAATTGTATAACAATGCCCATTTCTTGGGAATAGGCGTGTGGACAACTTATAGTCATCCAAACCAACCAGATTCTATTTTTTACAATTCCTAATACTGCCACCGTTGCAGTTAATTTTACTGTTTTGAGCTAACTTTCTTTATAGTAAATATAACCTTTTACCAAATGCTATCCCTTCCATGTTACATTTCTACCTTATACATTTGAAAGCAATGGTTAATCTGTTTAAATCAACTACATAATGTGTTTACAGGTTTCAAACTTCAATTGGTTCCAAAAGCAGCGTAATGGAAATGATGAGGTGATTATTTTTCTTAAAATTTTAAGTTATGTCCTTGAATTAATACATCAAATCTCTGCATTCCCAACGGAGAATGAAATTTCCCTAGAACTTTAATGTTGTTTTACAACTATGGTATTGCTTTCCACAGTATTCCTTTTTTTTTTTTTATTATTATCTATAGTTCAGTTAATGTATCATTGATGACGGTTAATTTTGTTTTAACATATAATCACGGGTCCTTATAGGTGGAATAAAATTACCAAAACAATATAGTCTTATTAATTTTATTCTCATCTTTTTCTGGTTTTTCTTTTTGCACATGACTGCCATTGTAGTCTTATTTATTTTATATTTATATTTATAGTAATCTTTGTTTGTACTTTCATTGATAATCTGCTTTATTTCTTTGTATTTTCTACCGTCATATTGTGGTTTCGTTGAGGTTGAAATGGGGAGTTAGACTGGTTCATGTATCTAGAGATGCATGTGTAGCAGACCATTTCAGGTCTTCACATTTCTGTTGGAAGGCTTGCATTGTGATAAGCTTCTTGGCATCCAAGAAGAAAGGACACCTTTAGAGTAGGTTTAGATTCCAAAAGAAAAAGAGATGGAGAAGAGAAATCAGAAATTATTTATAATGTTTGAGTAGACTAAGTTTACAATATAGAACCGTTTTACCTTATCAAACTTAAATAGAATTAAAAAAATAAACTAATTCTTATTACATATGTACAGACTATTTAGTTTGTATGTTACCGAATATATTCCTGTCATTTGTTTGTTCTAGTGTCAATGTGGAATATTTTTATTCCTTTTTCTTGTTTTGTAGAATTTTATGCTTGTAGGTTGGTATGTCATATTTGTAGCCTATACTTTACAATTTGATTGTACCATTTTAGGATCTAACAATATTTATTGATGTCTAACACTTTGCCACTTACGAAGATAGTTAAGATTGCATATGGAATAAGTGTGTGCAGCTTAAAGTTCATTGACGCATTTAAAAATATATAAATTTTCAGGCAATATAAATTGTTGTTGTTGTACTTAATGGATTGATAAATTTATTTAAGGATATTTATATTTTAACAGTATGCCTTCTTAAATTATCATAAGATATAAGAAAAATATTTAAATAAACTAAATAAAATTAAATATGATCAAGGATAATAATGATCTAAACATATTTTAAAAAATTTAAATCGATAATATTTAAATGATGTTTGTAAAATGTTCAAATTATTGTATTTTTCTAGATATATGTGTTATAATTCTGTATAATACATATATGCAATATTTATCTTATCTGGAAGATCTGAAAAAAAATCTTATAGTTAGATAAATTTGTATTCTTTTAAATTTTAGAAAAAATAATGCAAACATATAGTCATTGGCGTTCTTCATAATTATATATAAATCAACTATTTCTAAAGTTGTGAAATCGGATCGGTTATAGAACCGAAAGGAGAGGTTCAAGGTTCTTCAAGCTTCAATGGTTTGATCAGAGTTGAACAGATCTGAAAAAAAATCTTATAGTTAGATAAATTTGTATTCTTTTAAATTTTAGAAAAAATAATGCAAACATATAGTCATTGGCGTTCTTCATAATTATATATAAATCAACTATTTCTAAGGTTGTGAAATCGGATCGGTTATAGAACCGAAAGGAGAGGCTCAAGGTTCTTCAAGCTTCAATGGTTTGATCAGAGTTGAACCGGGGTTGAACTGTTTGATGTAATATAAATATTAAAATAATTCAATTATAATATAAATTATATAATTAATGAAAATTTTAAAAAGTGAATTTATAGTTACTTCAATGAAGATTTTAAACAAGCTTGATTAAAGAGATATAAAGTGTGTTAAGAAGTTTGATTAATTATTAATATGAATATAAGTATATGTATATTATAAATATAAATATATTAGCATTAAATATATTTAAAAAATAAAAAATCTATATAATATAAATATAATTTATAATAAGAATAATATTTAATTTAATATATAAATTTATAATAATAAAGTTTAGGTTAT